AGCTCCTCCAGCCCAACCATGACCCTCCCCCCGACCCTTCCCAACTCCCCCAGACCCCTCAGCGCTGGCTCAGCCCGACTCTTCAACCCCCCCAGGGATCCCGGGGACTCCCCCCTGCCCTGGGCAGCCCATTCCAACGCCCAACAGCCCCTTCCGCACAGAAATCCTTCCTGATATCCGATCTGATCAATAAAAAGAAAGGAACTATCCGTTCCTTTCGCAGGATCCTCCGTGCGCATTTTTCATTGGCAAAGGGGAGCAGGGACGGTTTGGACCAACCCTGCCCCTGCCCGGTCGTGGTGCCCCTCGAGCTCCCCGGCTTCACATCCCGAGGGCTCGGAGGGTCCCGGAGCCACCCTTGGCAAAGGTGCTGACACGGCCTGAGCCCACGGGCTCCCTTTTGGCCCGCGCTGCACTGAACCATCAAAGGTTTTTAATCCAGCACAGAAAAAAAAATAAAGCAAAAAAAAAATGACGAGATGGGACACAACGCTGGGGGTTGGGGATTCGTTTGGTTTGGGTCCTGACGGGCATCCCCGGGGTTAGTGAGATCGTCAGGATCAATTCCCCGGGTTGGTGTCAGAGGTGCTGGCACCCTGCACCCCCCTGCCCTGGCACCCCCCGCCCCGGCACCACGTGTATTTTCTGCGCTGTGGTTCCGGACTGGCCTCAGCTGAGCCAGCAGCCGCCCGTGGCCCGTCTGAGGCACCTGGGAGGATTTTGCACCCCGACCCCTAAAGCGAGGCACCGCCGGGGAATCGGGGCGTTCGGTTTGCGCAAAGCTCGGGACCCGCCCTGGGCCTCCTCAGAAACTGCTCCGGAGTTTCTCCGACTCGTTTCTAACTCCGCTTAAGTTAAACTGCTTGTAAAAACGTCCCCAATCCTTGTTCAAAACCCCACATCCCCAGACTGTCCATCCTCCCAGGGTTTGTTTGGTTTTTTTTTTCTTTTTTAAGTCCGCGCTGCCGCTAAAACTGGACTCGCTTCGATTTTTCAGCCTCTGGATTTTGCTCCGTCTTGACTCCCAGAGCTCTCTGCCGTGCCAGTGGCTGCCCAGATCGGGCTCAAGATTATTTTAGCCTACGGTAGATGTGGGGGGATTAATCTGCCTTCTGGAGACCCTGGAATTTACTGGGACGAGGGGAAGAGAAGCAGCTCCCAGGAGCCGTCCTCTGACATCTGAGGTTTCCCGGTCCGGAGGGAGAGCCCTGTGACGACTCCGGTTTAGGGCATCATGAACAAAAGTCCCCTCACGCTGAAGAATCACTTTCCCAGGGCATTTTCTCATGGAAAAGGAAACAGCACAGGGCCCCTGGTAGGAGGTGGGAAGATGCTCTGCCAGGCCGGTTCCTTTATCCCTCGGCTGAGCTGTTCCTGCCCCGGCTCCTCTTGATCCGAGAGGCAAAACGGGAGAGTTTCAGCCCTCCACACGCCCGGCTCTTCCCTTGGCACGGCTGACTGATCCTTCCGCAGATGTGAGACTTATCGGGCCGTCGCTGGGCTCCGTGCAAAACGGGAAGAGCCTTCTCGTTTCTCCTTTTGGCCACAGGTTGGGTCTGATCAAGGAACAGCCAGAACGAGCTGGAATCGTGTCCCTCGCTGTCCTCCTGTACCCAGGCGCTGGGATTCCGAGTGCCGGTGGCTGTTCCCTGCAGGATGTGACGGTAATAATTTAGAGAGCAGAGGGAGGTGACACTTCTGCACGATGCTGAAACTGGATGAGGCTGGAGCTCAGTGAAGTTTTTGCCACGAAGCTGCTTTTTTGTCAAGGAAAAATGGAAGCGTGGCAGCAGCGAAACGCTGAATTGTTGGGGAGGGTGGAGAAGTTGGGTGTTGTTGGGTTTGGTTTTTTTTTTTCAGTAGCAAAACTCCGGAGAAACTTTTCCTTTAGAAAAGATCAAAACATTTTGAGAGGTGTGAAATAATCAACCCTTTTTGGTTTCCAGCTTTTGTTTTCTTCTTAACTGAAGGAGTTTAAGCCAGCTCGGAAAGGAAGGATTTTTGGTCTCGGTTTATCCGCTGGCAGAGTGGGGCTCTGCTGGTTGGCGGTCACGGGGATACTGGTCCTAATGGGACGAGACCCCCGCCCACACTGAGCTTGATCTGGGGGGGGGGTCTCGTGAGGGACAGCAGGACCTGGGGACCCCCAGTTGCTGCTGCTACGTCGCCTCCTCGCCCGCCCTCTGCTCCCCTCAGCGTAACCACGTCGGTGGGTGCCGGGACCCTGCGGCTCCCCCCCTCCCCGGTTACACGAAGGCTCCCGCTGAGGAACCTGCAAGTAAGTTTTCCAAATCTCCGCCATGTGGCCTCTAATCAGCGATTGACTTGGGAATTAACAAGCCGGATCAGATGAAATGAGCTCCTAAATCCCTGGGAATTATCTCAGCGTCCATAAACAAGTCCCCTCGATGTGGAGCAGCGTGTGGGAGCGAGCGAAACCCTCGGGGATGCTGCCGCGGGTGCCCCGATGCTGGAGCTGGTCCCCAGGGACGCGGCGAGGCCCCGCGGATGCCCCTGGGCCCGTGTCCTGCCGGGGTGAGGACGCGGGACCTGGCTCGTGTCCCACGTCACTGTGGCCCTGGGGGTTCCCTGCTCTGCCGCGACTCGCCGGTGGCTGGAGACATCCCGGGGCGGGGGGGGAAATCGGGGCATAAAAACCCCGTCGGGAGGGGCAGAGCCAGGCGGGTGCTGTCGCTGAGGGGGTTTCCCTGGTCACGTTCTGGCTCGTCACTCGCCTGTCCCCGCACAAGGTGCGAAGCTCCGGGCAAACTCCAACCTGGGTTTGCCATCTCCCCCTCCCCAGCACATTCCCAGGCTGAGGCCACCTTGTACCACAGAATCCCAGACTCATCCGGGTTGGAAAAGCCCCTGAAGCTCCTCCAGCCCCACCATGACCCTCCCCC